GGGGGTAGGAGGCCAGGTCAGTAGTAGCCTTTTGTTATGTTTTTTTAGGGGGGGGGGTTGTAAGTGTTTTACGGCGCTCGCAACTGCATACGGTCACATGATTGCGTGGGACACATTAAGCAATTTCAGTTTTGTAGAAATTAATGTTGATTTTTGCCCGGATGGCATCCGAAGCCTACTCTTCATCTATTTTAGGACCACCAAGGAATCTTAAACGAGCGTAATTCATTCACAGAACCGCGAGATTTTTTCGACCTTATCCAAGAAGGCTAGGTGTTAGATCTTACCTACCCTAAGATCAAGGGTGTGGCTGAAAGACAGCAGTAAGAAAGAGCCAAGGAGTTACAGTAGATAGGCAGTAGAGAGAGTCAGGAGTCCAGGGAAAGGGGGAGGGGGCAGAAAGTGGAGACGAAAGCAGAGAAGGGAACATGGTTAGAGAACATGGGGACCTATGAGGCTATCACCGTACCTCTAGACCACAAGAGCCCCCAGTAGTCTTGAATGTAGGCTTACGAGTCACAAGGTTACGCTTGACTTTAGCTTAGTTTGGATGTTTGTCTGTTTGAGTTTATAAGTGTGTGGGTTTAACGCCCCTACCAACACTATTCAATTGTAGCCACAGAGTTGTGGCTCATAAGACGCTTGCCGCGTATCCCATGGACAGCTAGAAAAACAAATGAAGAAGTCTTGGTTGAAGCAAATTGCAGAAGGCAGGTAATGACGAATATACGAAAGCGACTGGCAAATTTCTTCGGACACACAATGTGGAAAGAAGCATTGGAGAATATTGTAACAACAGGCAAGTTTGATGGAAAGAGAGGCAGAGGCAGACAGAGGGAAAAGATACTGGACAAGATGAGAACATGGCTGGGAGCAGCAAGAACAACAGACACCATTGCTGCAACGCAAGACAGAGTGAAGTGGAGGTCCATGATCGCCCACGTCAGTCGGCAAGGCACCAGATGACGATGATCAACACTATATTGTATTGGTCATTTAAAAGGTGGAACCTTCAAATTTAGTGTTCATTTGGTTGTTTAACTCTCTTTGGGTAAAGAGAAGCATATCGACACAATAACGGCTATTCTATTGATAAACTGACAAACACTGAAGGTGGGTGGTTGGCGGGTGCTCTGATGTGGTTTGCTTATTCTTCCCTATCAAACGACTATCGTCCTTTTCTCTCCGCCTTCTTTTTTTGTGTGTATTTTACTCCCTTGTAACACATCTATTCTTTGGCACTTATAAGTTATATGACCTTATTGTGTTGCAAGTGCTGTATAACTTTTACTAAAACTCTCACTGAAGAGAGTGAGTAAAGATGTAGTCTGGTTTGAGTTTATCTATATTTTGTTTGCTTTTGATAAAAGTCTGGTGTCGTATGAGACACAAATACATGCACATTACATCTATTTAAGCAGGCCAGTTGGCTCCGTATTGGGCGTAACGGAGTAGCTAAGAAAGAAGGAGTGGCACCTTTGGCTCACGTTATACTGTAGTGGGCTACAGTGGGGGTAACCGTGGTTCGAATCCCTTATGGGACATTCTTGAACTTGGCTTGTCTTGGGAGGGTTTTTGGGTTGGGGTTTGTTTTTGGTCTTTTTTTGGGGGGGGGGGGGGACAGACAGACAGACAGACAGACA